CAAAGAAGGATTACTTGTGTAGAGGGAGCAAAAGCAAAAAAAAAAACTTGACATGGTATATTAACTTAGTTCGATGTTTTTAAAAAATACCATAACATACAGTGTTTCTTTCCTTTTTTTTTTTTTTACCTTAGTTAACACAATACTCAAATATGTTATTTGTATCAAAAACTTAATCTGAATCGTCAGCTTCCTCGTCCTCCTCTTCCTCTTCCTCTTCCTCTTCCTCTTCCTCCTCATTTTCTTCTTCCACACCATCATAATTTATTTCACTACCGTTTCCTCTATTCAATTCGTCTACTGTCTCCTTTTCACTTGCCTTTTCTGTAGAATAAAGTTCATGGATAGGGGCAATAATGCAATCAGGATCAAACTCCACCACCTTGTTAGGCAGAAACATCAAATACTGCTTTAACAGGGAAGCTACGTGATCCAGGAGGGTAGCGAAGTGACCAGCAAAATCGTGACAGGTCTCAAGCGTCCCAAGCCTTTTCCCCAAACAGATAGAAAGATCAAAAATGACAGAGGCAGCCTCTACCTCTCCCTTTGTTAAACATTTTTTTGTAGGAGGTCGCATAACTGCCCAGGGAACATTTTTCCCTTGACAAATTTCCCGAACAAAAGTTCGAGCACCAAGTTTCAAGGCATTATGGGAATCCATGCGTTGTACGCTCGCGTTACTCTTTCGCCTCCCCCGTGAGGGGGCAACGACAGATGAAATACGTATAAGTTTATTTGGAGTGGCATTACTAAATGAAGCTTCAAGAAGGGTTGTTTGTGTGCTTTGCTGACGAGAAGTGAAACCAACAGAGGCTGTCAAAGAACTGCTAGAAAGTTTTCCTATAGTTCCTGCATTCGATACGAATAGGGGAGACACGTAAAAACCCTTTTCCCTTCGTACGGTGTGTCCAAGACCTCGGAAAAATCTCTGAGCTCTCTTCATATTTTCTTCTTCATCACAGGAGAGACTAAAGTCCTCTCCGGGTTGGCAAAAACTCTGTGCAAGGGCAATTTTGTCAACTGCAGCAGCGAAAAGCATACAACCAATGACTTCAGGATTGGTCATTCTTTCAATAAAAGAAAATGGCTTAAAAACGACATCGCCTCCAGACAAAGAGAAAAGCTCACGCAACAGTACCGTGTCTTCTGGGAGTTGTAGCAATGTTATTTCTTTCGCATTGGGAAAAGCCAGTTTAAACTTCAGATCCCCCTTATTATCATCTTTGGTGGTCATCATCTGTACCTGAGCAGCAGAAACAGGAACGAGACTGACGCCAGAATCAGTCCCATGATGTAATAAGATGCGAGACAAAGTTCGGCGACCTGTGTTTGGGAGTCCAATGACAAACGAACAAAGTTTCCCTTCAAGGTTGCAATACGGGTTCGACTGTGAGCATTGCTCACTCGAAAGAAATTGTCTCAAAATGCGAATAACATGTCGTGTTGTTTTGTCAAACAATTTTGAAACAGGACAAAAAGCAATACGTATGGCGTCAGTCAACATCATCGACTCTTCACCGTCATTTATGTTCTTATATCGTTCACAAAGCGCATTTGCCAAAAGAGAAATTTGTGTGACCACAGCTGGCACAGATACAAGATCTATTTTAGTGATGGCAAAAAGCAGAAGGACTCTTCGCATTCCACCATTGTTGTGGTAAATATTACTTCCGTGAACAATTGCATCAAGTAGAGCCCATGGTATACTCTGAACCGCACAGCGGACGTCCAAAGTAATCACATACGCCACCGATGGGAGCTCTATTAGTGACCCAGGAGGTGGAAAAACAAGTTCTTCCAAAACCTTATTAAATTGGTATGAAAAATTATTAGATTCGCAAACAGGAATATACGTAAATACTTTTTTAGTCTCACGCAATGACGGAGCAATGTGTGTTACCTCGCAGGTTGATTCCACATTCCCATGAACATCATCTTCCTCAACAGAAGGTTTTTCAGACCGTTTGGCACGCTCAACACGGGCATCTTCACGTGCTTGAAGCACCCTCTGAAGGATGACTTCCTTATCAGGATGGGAGTTAGATACCTTCAAAGCCAATTTGGCAAGTTCTCGAGTCTTTTTAGTTCTTTTTGGGCCAAGACCGGATTTCTTCAAAGACTTTGCAGCTCGGCGAAGGTCGCGCTTGTGTTCCCGTTTCTTTCGCTCAATCTTGTGACGCTGACGCGAACTCATACGCTTTGATGGGCCACTCCTAACCTTGGGCATTTTTTTCACTTTTTCTTCTCTGCTTTGCTTTTAAGAAAGTAGCAAGTAAATCAATCACAATGAAAAAGAAAAAAAGTTCAAAGTAAAAAAAAAGCAATACAACTAAAAGCAAATGAAGATAATGATTATTATCAAAATAAATAAATAATAATAACAGTTAGTGTAACCTCCAATTTGAACTACGAAATGTTTATATTAATATAAATATCCATAAATATAAGTGTATGATATGTGCTAAACAAAATTGAACACTACTATCCCTAGCTAACTACAAAACCAAAAAAAAAAAGAACTAATACTTCAAACATTTATCACGTAACAAAAAAAATAATAATAATAATAGAAAATCCTAGTTTACCACATCTCATACTCTTCCTTGGCTATTTTTCTCAGACGTGAGCAGCAACAGGACTCCCATCCAATCCAAATTTTGGCTGAACAATATCATCGGGATAAATAACTATCGGAGCATCAGAATGAAACTTACTAAGATCTAATGTTGCCACTAAAGCCTGGTTTTCCGCTACTGGTTGCTTAGACAATTGCTCAGTAGATTTTCCCGATGTTTTTTCAAAAACTTTACGAAGTTGGTTAACCAAAGCAACATCCATAAGACGATTAAGTAACATATATAAAGCTTAGCCATCCTTGGTGCGCCATAACGACGCTCTGCATTATCTGGTGCACGAAAACGCTCTGGGCGATTTACATATTGTTCCTATTCGGTAATAATACTACCAAAATAAGGTAACTTGCTATCGATAGTTCCCCCTGAACCCAACGTTTCATCCGCATACACCTTTCATCCCACTTGTGGCGATGATCATAGTTAAACTCAGGATGATACCGCGGAAGCTTACGTGTTTCAGGAACATCCGGGTCGTGCCTTGTGTAAAAATATCCCTAAGTATTGGCCATTGGATTTCGACTCTTATCTTTTTTAATTGCAGAAAATATCAAACTGCTCATAACCGTATAATTTGTATTATCGGAAATCCATTCATTAAGCAACTTCTCATGCGATTTGCCAATTGGAACCTTAGCCCAGTTGTATTCCAGCGGGGCAATCAGATAACGTAACCAAAAATAAAACACATCTGTTTTCCATAGGTGTGGGTTAGGCATCTCACGCATAGCCTATTTTAAATACTTTTCGTACTCTTCAAATCGGGTGGAGTAGAAATCGTCGTCCTGTCTTGCCAAAGTACGCTCAGCACTTACACGACTTGATTTAGGATGAACTTCCCGAATCAGATACTGAAAAAGTTGTTCCCTATTCTTCGTATAAAGGTCTTCCATGGAAGTCTCCATCATCGTTTCAATATCCTTTACCGATATACGATACCCGTGACTGTTTTTGCTTGCAGAGTGCTTTCGCTTATTATAAACCACTTTCAATCCAGCCTTGCATCTTACGTCGGGTATTTTGACGGTAGGGATCTACATTTTTTATATACCACCCATCATAAGCTAATTTTTTCCCCAGTAGTTTGTACCATCTGCGTGTTCTTTTTCAAAACATCCTTTCGATGTGGTCCAATACATAGGAATTCGTCCTACAATGAGTGTAAATTCCTTTTCACACTCCTTTCCTAACCAAGACCAATGTAAATCGTAAGGACCTTCGCGTCTTTGCTCTTCATCATTCCAAAAACCTCGTTCTTCTTGCATCTTGCCCTTCTTTTCTAGTGTACCCACGCACAAGCTCATCTTGACTTTCCCACTCAAAGAATTTTGCTACACTTGTACCAGTACATCAAAAAAGAATGACCTAATGCTCCATCTAACAATTATGAAGTAAATGTCGAATTGCATCCGGGTCCGTTTTATGTTCATTTTGCATAAAACATTCTCGAACCTTATACTTCATATTGGGTAATTGTGTAATAAGACAATAGTAGTGCTTCACAATGGGAAGACCTTTAACACAAGAGTGATAAAGGGACATCATGGCCGCCTTTATATCCCAGTTTACAACAGTATTGATTAATAAAGTAATGTTTCCTTCCCATTTTCCAGTAGCAGACGCATACGAAAAATCAGGGTGATGATCCTCAAATGGTGGTAGTGAAACCACCTCACGATAATTAACAGCCTCTTTATCGGCAGGCTCCCGAACGCAGTTATGATAACGCATAGCTGCAGGCCCCCCTGTAAAATAAGGAGCTTGTTCAAACTTTCCTAGTGAGGTATCATATTCAGGTAGACTAAGATTAAAGAACGATCCCGAGATTCATTAGCCCCCAATACTTGTTTACTGGGAAGTTGTTTTTCATTTCTTGGGTAGCGTTCCTCAAAGTAACTGAGCTCATGGTTTGAGCTGTATATCCCTGGAATATTGTCCTTTCCTGTGGCGCCTGGGATAGGCCCTGAATACTTGTATTCACCAGCCTTCAGTTCTTTGTCTTGTTTCCCAAGACAACTGCCGCCAATGCTGGACGTGAATTGGGATTTTCCATCACTCCCGGATGTAAAAAGCCTGTAAAAAAACAAATCCCCTTCCCAAAAAAGATATTTGTCGAAACACTTTCTAACAAAAGATGTAAGGATAAAACTCACCGAAAAAAAAACGGAATAGTGCAGAAAAAAAATCAGAAAAAAACACGTCATGCCAAATTACAAAAACTTCACGGCGCAATATTATTATCAAGACGAAAACAACAAACAAAATTAAACCACATCAAAATAATAATAACAAATTGAATAAAAAAACTATTTGTCCGAAACAATAAGGTGCTGGGTCGCTGTGGAAACAGCAGACACCCCACAGTGACTGCAACAAAATACTAATAAACAAACAACACAAGAAAACAAAAAACACCTGGAATGACAAAAAAAAAATGGACATGAACCACCGCCACCCAGATGGCTTCTGGGCCCGGCACCGTCCCCGACAAGAGCACCCTTCCTTCAAAAACGAAAACGAGAAAAACACACGGCGGCGCCGCGGCGCCGATAGCCCGCCCTGCCCACGTTTTTTTTTTTATTCGTATTAGCCGGGTGGCGAGGCTGCGGGAGTCCGTTTTTTTTTATTATTTGCATCTTACCAATCTGAAAATTGCTCGGTGCGAGCGGGAAAGAAGCCCGAGGCCCTGGGGCCCATAAGGGTGACATGCTTTTTTGTCTTATTTTGTTATTCTAATTTCTTTTTATGTCTGGTGTAAGTGGTATGGGGAATTGTAGTTCAGCTGATGACGCTTTCACTGTTATCCTGAGACTTTTCCTTACAACAAGCCGCCACATTGATGCAGTACTTTTTTTTTTTTGACAACGGGACCCTGTAGAAGAGGGCGTTTGCATGAGCTTATGGTGTCGATGTTACTGCGAACTTTTTTTTTTTGATGTGCCGAAATTATTTTCCAATACTGTGGACATGGTTTTTGCACACTGTACTGAAAGGGAAAATATTATTACTATTATGATATTTTTTTTTTGCTCCGAGCCCTTTTCTTCTTGCAATTTTTATTATCATTTTAACGCGCTTGGTTCAGGAGATTAATGATAGTAAATAATATGGATTAAGGAATATACATAAATAATATCATGGTTATTTTTTAGTTTGTGTTGCTATTGTTGTTGTTTTTTTTTTGCTAATTGGTTTACTACCGTGAGCAGTGCGGGATCCCTGTTCGATGGAGATACACAGTTCTTACTGAATATCTTCCCCTCTTGTTGCCTCCTACTTCGTTGAATTTAAAAACAAGAACGTGAAATAAGGAAGTACACCATCACGTTTTATTTTTACCTTGCACAATGAGCAGTATATTTTCGTTGGGCTCTAAACGAGAAAATGTATTTGATTCCTGCTTTTTCTCTGAAGAGCCGACAGTGAAACCGTCGTTGAGTGATATGCCATGTGACACAGCGATGCTTCAGTGGTGGTATTTTAATGCACACTTGCGTGATCTCAATAAGGAGAAGGATTTTTCTTTTTTTGCCTCATATTTCCGTCAAAAGGACCAGCGTGGTTCTAAAGAAAACGTCATTTTTGTGGATTCATGTGTATGGGCGTTAATAGATGTTGGAGAAGAGAAGTATTACTCAGACAGTTTACTCGATTACAAAGCACATGAAATTATTATCGATAGGCTTGAAACTGCTGCAAAGGGGGAAAATGACGGTGCTTATGCGAGAAATGTTGTACTTGAAATGGCGAAAAGGGGGCGACTTCCATTGCCTGACAGGGCAATGAGCAAAGCTGCGGTTTACAGTGAAGACAGGTTTCACATAAATTACGATGATCAGTGTATGCTTGAGGGTGAAGGGGATGGCGCTGAGCGGAGATATAAATTATATCTTAATAACCCAAGGTGCAATATTACTGTCGAATTGGAGTTCGCTGCAATAACAGATCCAGTTCTTCATGGAGAAAGTGGCATTGTAAACGAAATGTTTTATTACTATTATCCATCAATGAGTGTGGAGGGAAGGATATCGGTGGATGATTCTGTTACCCATGTAAAAGGTGATGGTTGGTACGATCGAGAGTACGGGGGATCAGAAAACGAAATAGGTAGGGATGCTCTTGATGCTTGGAGTTGGTTTTCTTTGCATCTTTCTGATGGTTCTCAATTAAGTATTTTCGATATTGTTGATTCACAAACGAAACAGCAAAAAGAACGAGTTGCTGTGCTTACTTTTGATGGAACAAAGAAAGTTTGCCGTGATGTTACACTTGAGGAAGAAGATTGGTGGACAAGCCTGGTAACGTTTGTTGAATATCCTTTAAAGTTTCATATCGAGATTCTATCCTTTCAATTAACTATTGATATACATACTTCATTTAATCATCAAGAGGTTCCAACAATTTTGGTATCAGGTGGTTTTTATGAAGGACGTGTAACCGGTGAGGGATATCGTAAGGGAACTCCAGTGAGTGTAATTGGTTTTTATGAGCGGAAAAATTTGGGTACTGGCGGTGACGCTTCAGTTACTCTAAAGCATATGGGAGAATACGTGAGGAAAACGTTGTCTATTTTTTATCCTTTACATGCTTCTAATGAATGGGTTAATAAAAATGTACTGGGACGTTATTGCACGGGTAAAGGAGTTGTCGCCCAACACGTTTGCGATTCATTATTTCTTCCTGTTCGTTCAATTATTGATCGAGGTGGAAAGGCTTGGCGCAGCCTGGTTCTTGTTTCGGCCTGTAATGCACTTTCAAGTGATTACTTTGATTGTACAAAGTATATTGCTATTACGGAGCTTTTACATGTGGGTTCTCTTATTATTGATGATATTCAGGATAATTCTTATATCAGGCGTGGAGGGAAGTCCGCTCATCTGGAGTATGGCGTTCCAACAGCCATTAATGCTGGAACGGCCTGCTATTTTATGGGCATATCTTTCGCAGAAATTCAATCGCTTCCGATGGAGAAGGCCAACAAAGTGTACGAAATATATTTTGATGTGATGAAAGCAGGCCATGCAGGTCAGGGAATGGATATTTACGGTCTACACTATTTAATGCCTGAGGCTGTTCGTACCGGTAAATCGGAAGCGCTTGAAGATGCTCTTAAAGCCATCCACACTTATAAGACAGGGGCCGTCGCAGCTGCCACGTGTCGAGTTGCTTGTATTTTATGTGATGCAAATGAAGAAGTCACAGCGGCAATGGAAGCATTTGGGCTGGGACTCGGTTTGGCATTTCAAATTGTTGATGATGCACTTAATGTTAAAGGATTTGAAGGAGACCTTAAGGAGGCAGGAGAAGATATTCGTGATGGCAAGATTACATATCCAGTGGCAAAAGCAATGGGAAGACTGGAACTTCCCCAACGAGAACGCGTTTGGAGTATATTACAGGAACATACATCGGACTCCGACAAGATTGGTGAGGTTGTGAAATTGCTCTATTCGGTGAATGCTATTCAAGATTGTCTGGTAGATGCCCAAAAGCTTGTCGATGAAAAATGGAGTGTTCTTGATCCGCTTATTCCTGATTCCATGCCAAAAGTGATGATGCGAACGTTCTGCTTGTTTCTCACGAAGCGAGGGTTTTAGAAACATATCGACAAGGGGAAAAAAAAACATGTATTTACTTTTGTCACACATGGAAATAATACGCAACAGAAAAACAAAAGATGTTCTGAGGCGTTTTTTTTTTTGCTTAATAGGAGAAAGAGAGATACACACATCCAACAAAATTGTATTGAGCTGTGCCCGTTTTTTTTCCCCCTTTTTTTTGCAACGATGATATTCAGCTCTCTTTCTTTATATTTTCTACATTCTTTTTATTTTGTATGTTCCAGTGTAGAATTCTTTAGGTGGTGCGCTCCCGTTACGATGTTTTGCTCAACCCTTTTTTTTCAATTACTTTACCCTAATTGAATGAACCAAAGCAATTTTTTTGCATATTTTTGTTTTTTTTGTTTTAATTTGAGAAAATAAGTTGATGCTTTTTTTTCCATTCATTTTTAAATCTCCACAAAAAAATTAAGATGCGCGTGACTACTAAAAAGATAAGCCAAGCCAACGCCGACAACGGGAAAATAATGCGTGTGAGAATATTGTCGTGATGGTGATGGGTGGGGGACAGAATTGTGGGTTAGGATAATACGAGCATTCTTACATTCAACCCACGAAGAATTGATTTTTGCTTTATCCTGCAGCACATTCATGTCCTTTGTGTAGAATAAATTTCCCCACTCATATTAGATATTCGATTCAGTGTGTACTTTTTCTTCATGGGTGTTCGCTGCTTTAATTCTACGAATCTCTTTCTTTGTGTTTTAACGACAAAAAATAATAATAATACACAGCTACTTCCACAAGTTTTGCTCCAATAACCATGTCGTCGAAGCGCGAAAAACTTCCAAAGCTTGGATTCTTTGAGGAATTCATGGTGGGTGGCGTGGCTGCCGGCGTTTCCAAGACCGTCGCTGCCCCCATCGAGCGGGTGAAGTTGTTGGTGCAGAACCAGGGCGAGATGATAAAGCAAGGGCGGCTGGACGCGCCGTACAATGGAGTGGTTGATTGCTTCGCCCGCACGATGAAGACAGAGGGCGTGTACTCGCTCTGGCGAGGCAACCTCTCCAACGTTCTTCGTTATTTCCCGACGCAGGCTCTGAACTTTGCCTTTAAGGACACGTTTAAGCGGATGTTTAACTTCAAGAAGGAGAAGGATGGGTATGCGAAGTGGTTCATGGGCAACATGGCATCTGGTGGCCTTGCTGGCGCTGCCTCGCTGTGCTTTGTCTACTCTCTGGACTACGTCCGTACTCGTCTC